AAATTACTACTCGGAATTTAAAGAAAATGCAGACAGATTATATAAAACCTAGCAAGAAGAAGCTTCATTGAAACAATAAAGTTTTACTGGCAGCTTAGGTGAAAAAAAAGTGAATCCGTTTGCAAAAAAAACTCGTACATCGTGGAAAACTGCGCACTTCTGAGACGTAATCAACGGGACTTGGACGAATTTTCGCAGCCTCAAGCGTCCAGCGCTGGCGCTTGTTGCTACTACAGAGGCGGCTGGTCTCAGCCGATCAATAAACCCTTGGGTTGGGCGGCCAGCGTTCTGCGATCCTGGTGCGTTCTGATCTCGCGCTCACACCCTCTCGATCAGGACAGAATTAAGCCTTCATTTGAATAGAAAACACGAAAAAAACTCTGATGAATCCCAGTTGAGGGTTGTTACCAACAATTTATTTACAGTGTGCATGTTGAAATTATACAGGGAAAATTTACTACTTTTAGATATAATGGGGAACATTCGAGATGTCGTAAGGCAAGGGCGGCTCCCGAGTCCTGCAGTACCGAACACGGCGCAGCAGCGCCTACTGCGCAGCTGGAGAAAGGAGCTATATAAGGACGCAACACCAACGCGTGAAATAAATTGTGGCAAGTAACGTTATATTGAAAGTGTTGGACTTATGAAGACCATGCATGAGCTTAAAATTAGACATCTGAAGCAAACATTTTTACATGCAAGTAAATATTTATTCTGCTCATGCAGAAAAACAGCATACATGTACATCGCCAGAACAGAGTTGCGTGTAGCTGCCAAGAAGTTTTTGTGGTCGATGGGAAAGCATTGGCTGCGAGAGTTTTTCGAGAGAAAAATGACCGATTTAAAATAAAGTAAGCTATGTGAAAGTTTTTGTAACTACGGTCTGAGGAAATAAATGTTTGGTAAAGCAAATAAAAGTGTTTGATTTAAAAACGAAACGTGTCACACAAAACACACCTCGCATTCATATCAATATCAAGAACAAATGAATAGAAATTTTTTATTAGTCAATGCAAAAAAAAGCAGTATATTTTTAAACTAAGAAGCAAAATAGTTCATAAAAGCGAGCAGGAGGGCCTGTGAAAGATCACAGGTGTTCCTTATGAGCGGCAAGTAGATCGCGTCGCAAGACTTCAGCTGTACAAACATCTGTAATTACGTATAGACTCTCTGCCGCCTTCCTAACGCCGGTCATTGAATGAAAACGGAAGTTCAATGTATTTACTGTACATTGTATGAAATTTTTTCGCGCCCTAATAAAATATGTTTTTTGTTCATTTGTGTAGGTTCATTTTCGCCTTAGTTCATGTCGTATTCAAGTCTTGTACTCAGTTTCGTAGTCTATTTTCAGCTAGGGTTAATTCATTCATTTTCCAGCATTCATTCGTTTCAAACTGCCAGTATACTGACCTAAATTTCATTCAATCGTCGCCTTCGTTCAACCCGCAGTTCAAATGTCAATTATTCAGCAGGACGAGTCTTAAGAGCAGTCAATCAACTTCAGCCGGCACAGCAACAGCCGTTCCTCAAGTTCTACCTTTGTTGCTTCCCTATCGTTTCGTTTGAATGAATGTGCTATTTATTCCTTAAATTTATATGCACTCTGAAATTAATTAGTTCTATGGTACTCAGGAGAAAGTAATGATCAATTTCTGAAAATTCCAATTTTCGTGGTCCTCTTTGTCTGCCAAGGAACCCATTTCCTGAGCTGTGACCAGCGATTCCTTTTCTTTTCCTCTAATTTTCCAACGTCAAATCTCGAACTGCCCTTGCCTATTTTTTGTCTAGACTACTTTCCTTTTTCAGATTTCTTCTAATTTCTAATTTGCCACCTTGCACTAGCATTAGCATTGCTATGCATCTAAAACTTTTTGTTCGTTTATTCATTCTTGATATTTATTTGCATTGATTTGATTCATATGTATACCTGGCCACTAGCTTTTTGTTTAGCATTATCTGTTCCGTTAATAAATCTCATTATTTCCTTTTACAATAGCAAATACTCTAGGGGCAGCGAGAATACGAATTTAATTTTGTCGTCTACCGGAACATTTATAGCCGGCATCAAGATGTCAACCAAATCAACCTCAATCTGAATATGCCGTATATACTGAAGTATATACATTTTTGTACACCTGTCGCATTCGAAGTTACCGACCAGTGCTAAACACTTCCAACGCAGTAAATTTCAATAAATTATAATTGATTTGATATCTGTCTTTATTTGATCCGATTTTGTGAGGCATTCCGAATTCTTCACACCTTTCTTCATACTGAAGATATATTTTCTAATGTAAGGATGTAACACGAAAACCAGTGCTTTTAAATTTTACTCACGAAGCCTTATGAACTCTCATATTAAAAAATTCATGGAAAAACCTGCGTGTTCTGATACTAATGTGAACTTTTGAATTTGTATACCAAACAATGCACTGTTAACATGCCATGTTTGGCAACCATGATTGCCATAAATCTCCATGCGAGAGCAGATCTCGATGAATCATCCCACCCAGCACAAGAAACAGCATATGGCTTCACAACAATATATATTGGACGTCGTGAGACCAATATTGCAGTTTTGTGTAGTCAATGCCGTCGTTCGAGCAATGAATGGTGTTTACGCGGTTCACCTAAAGCAGTTCCACGAGTTTGCTTATACGAACCACATCATTCAGCTTCGAGAACCGAAAATGACTTTTATTGAACATTAACCCTCTTAAGAGGGTTAATGAATTAACCCTCTTTCGAAACTAATTTAATAAACTTTAGAACGTAGAATCTTATGACCTGAATAATTTTAATAAACCCAAAATTTGATTTTACCCGAAATTAAATCTACCACGGAGGTGCAAAAAAGTAAAAAAAAAACAATATTAAGCCAAAAGAAACTATTTTTCCTAGTGAAAATCAGCCTTACACAGATTTACATGAGAAACTGGCTGAAATACAAAACAATCGCCAATCACCCAAAATTTGAACGATGTACGTGGGTGTACGTCAGTGGTTTAGAATTAAGGTTTCACAATGCACTGCACTACCTTCAATATTGTCACGATGTGGAATAACCTTTTTGTCAAATCAAAATATTTACTTAAATATTGCGCGTCTAAGGCCTTCGGTCAAACTGTGGTGCGACATACAAAGCACAATGATGTTGATTGTCTAGGGGCATCAGGTAGAATTTAGTGCAATCCACACAACGCAATATTGACAGTTTCGATCGGTGCAGCTTCATAACGGAGGTGGCCACAATGCAAAGGGGTACCAGTCGAACTAATATTGCATGCGATTAGTTTTAGACGTTTTGATCAACTTGCAACTCGTTACTAGCTTGCCCAACGAATATAAAAGGCACACACAAAAAAAATTCACACTGAAAATGTAATGCATTGTGAGTGTTAAAAAAACAAATTGTATCATACTATTAAATTATACAAACAAAACGCATTTAGAAAGAAGCAGCAAAAACCAACGGTAACTCTTACCATGGAGAATCAAAGCGTCCTAACTCCATTAAGAGAGTTGCTGTTTCTTGTACTCGTACATGCTAAAATGATTCTTCTACTAGCAAAAAAATTTTATTATAATTTTTTTAGAATAGAAGAATAATAGATTGCATGGTCTCCCTTCACCAGAGTATATTCCTCAAATTATCAACGGTGTAACCTAACTTGACAAAGATGGTATTCGGTACCAAAACTTGAAAGAAGACTATATAAAATAAATATATAATATAGCGGTTTCAGCGTTTATTAGGCCGTACTAGATGCTAAGAACAGTCGAAAAATAAGAAAACGCATCCGAATGACAACTGTTTCCACCTTCAATTTCGGAGTCAGATACAGACTAATTTTTTGTTTTCGTTAACATTTTATATCGTGGTTCAGTGCGTGAACTGCGTTTTGTTGTTAAAAACCTACGGCAACGATTAATTGTTGGATTTTACGAGCTTTGCTATTAGGGGTCAATCACAACCCCAAAAACCTCATTATTTATATTTATGACGTTCTATACCTAGAATGGCTTATCAAAAAAAGATAAAATAAATTAATTAATAACGAAGAAAAAATAGATAATCCAATATAGTTTGTGATGGTATGGCGCCATATACTTGTTCTCCAGCGATGGGATTATAACGAGATCTACTGCTCCAGGGAGATGTACGGAAATCGTGGTTGGCAAAGATGCCTTGTTAACACTGTTACACTGCATTGTGTATCAGAACACGTAAATTATTGTATAAGTTGTCGAGTTTAAATAAGTATATTTCGTAATAGATGAAAATTGCTTGTGTAATGGAAAGTAATTTTAACGGGTTAAATTTTAGTCCCAGTCAAACGACGAAAGTTCTGAGTAAACAAGAACCAAATAAAGCTCCTTGGCAATTTTATTAGTGAAATCGTGATGTTAATCAATACAAAAATTGTCAATGGTAATTCAAAGGTTAGCATATAGTGATGATACATATTCGCTTTGACAAATGTACACTGCCGGGGCTAATTACACCGTTGTTACAGGGCTTAGGATGAATTTTTACATCCAAAATAGCTCTGCTTCTATGTTTCGAGAACAATTCTGCTTCTAGATAACTTATTACTTACCAGATGCTTATATTCTTGTCAACACAGTCACCTAAGCAAAACAATGCTCGAATGGCGATACGCATTTGCTCGAGTCTGCTAAAAGTTGCCACGTGATGGCTGTGACGCAAGAATCTGCAGTGCTCCCGGTTTGAATTCCAGGAATGGTCTTAATTAGGTAATTAAGTTAGAGGGGTCGAGAAAGTCGACACATACCAGTTTGAATTGTTTTAAAATTATGTATCAGTAGAATGAACAGGCTGGTATATTTGAAATGAACCGTAAATCTTTCGTTAATCGATTAATACTCTTCTGAATTTAAAGTAATAGTATCTTCTTTTTAGTACCTTCGGCATTGAAGAATAGGCCTGTCGCCGATTCTTGTACTTTTCTTGACTAGCCTGACCCTTTGTTCAAATCTTTTCAACGGACGGTAGGTTTAAAGTCGTTTCTGTGTCGATTCGGTTAGGATCCGATGCATTTCATGACTAATCATAGGCGTGGAGTTATACCTACTTTTGTCTTCATTTCGGGTACACGCCCTACGCCCTGTGGACATCGGGACGGTAATGCAGGTCATTTTGACCCGAAATCTACAGGAAGGTTGAGGTACATATTTATTTAAACTCAAATCATGTTATTGGTTACTTGGTTAAGATACGGCGCAGCACCGACGACGGTATTAGCGCCCAAATCATGTTATTATGATGTAACATAACGTTTCCTACGCTCCTTACGAGAGAAAGAACTGGTATACGTACCAACGTCATTCCCAATTTTTCGTCAGACTGCACTGCGCTGCTTATTGCTTATCATACAGAAAGAAACTCATAAATAAGACCTCCTAAGGTTAAGAAAACTGAATATTTATTAAACTTCTGTGTTAAAACTGACTGAAGATACTGTTAAAGCTTAAAAGTCATAAAATTGAATTAAGACACATATTTTCCTGTAAATCATTTAAAATTAAACACTTAAAACAAACTTTTCAAGTCAACATGAGGCCAGATATAATTTTTGGACGGAATGCCATTTCACACGAGGTTGCTCTAAAATTTCTAAACCTCTTCTACCTCTATGCTCTAAAACTTTTGGGGACCAACAGATAAAAGCGTTCATTATTCACACCGATAACTGAAAAACCAGTAGTTTAAAGCCTACGGAAGAATAACCAAATTATCATAATTCTCTAAATGAGAGAATGTGTTGTTGGGCTGTCGAAATATTTAAGTTACCCGACTAATGCTACATGTTCGCATCGAACAAGAAGATGCGAACATGCAACAAGAACTGACCTTGAGTGAAAAAAAAACTAGTACCGGCTAAATTTGTACCTCAATTTAGCCAATTTAGAACGCAAAGTCTGAATATCAAACATTCTTTGCGGTGAATCAATTGCAACACTATCTGGAGTAGCAACAGAAGCCACACTCGACTTGAAAGAAGCAATGCCATTCATTGAATAAGAGACTTGAGACGCAGTAACGGCGCTTGTCTCTTGACTGGCAGTAGATACAGATGAAGTCCCTTGGCAGGTTTGCTTGGTGTCACAGTCACTATTTGCATGATGAATTTTTTCAATACATTTAGACTTTGAACTCGTTTCAACAAAAGCTGTAATAGTGCTCTTGCTTTCATCGTTTGATTTTTTAGAATGATGTTGCAGATTCCTTTCGCCAGAAAACTCTTCGTCAACTTCTTGAATCAAAGAGGCAACTACTTGATTAGTGCTCATGAATTTATCAACAAATTTCAACATTCGGCGTTGCTGAGTAGTTTCGTCATCAACGATAAGAGTAAAATTTTCCCAAACGGCCGAGTTTCCAGTTAAATTTTTGCTGTCAGTAGGCAATGGATGGGAGATATCAAAGGAGATTTCGCCTGAATCTTTCGACTCGATATCAGGGAATTTGGGAGAAAATGAAATTCCGTGAAGCTTGATGCCACGAAGGACTTCACTTCCATCCTTTGGCAACTCGTTTACTAATTTCGTTGCCTGGTCAGACTTTTCAAACGTTTCCAGGATATAACCTAAGCTTGTGTCATCTATAATAGCAGTAGATTTGTTACTTGAAGTTTGAATGCTTTGGACTTCAGAGGATTCTTGCGTCGCATTCTGGCGTGCAGGTTTGGAGGCACTGATGCCATCATCGTCACAAGCAGGAGAGCAAGAGGTAAAGCTCGAGGCCAGACTTGTCAAATTCTCCAACAATCCTGATAAAATAATCAACATTTCACTGTCAATAGTAAAGTAAAAAATATCTTAGTTTTACACTTAAGAGCCTTGTTTTATACGACTGATAATTGAACATCTTTCATAACCTGCTTTGATTCAATAGGTTTTCGATATCAATAAATTACAAAGTAACTCGCCTTACCTGTGAGTTCTTGCACAAGCGACGTGGTCACCAAACCTTGCTCTTCCTCCGCAGGGTGATGCTCCTCATCAACGTCGACTTGTGCCTTGCTCAGTTCCTCGATCACAGAAACACAATCACCAACCGGCGGCAAAGAATTTGGGTCCTCTACATGAGGTTTGTTGTTGGTCTCAATGCGACGAGCAGTTCTTGCCGGAAGCGGAGGCAGTTGAGAAGGTTGACATCTCACACCCCCATCTGTTCAATTAGGTTTAAATTATTCTACAATCAGACAAAGCCTAGATTTGAGAAGCTATTAAAAGCAATGGTTAAGAACAATATATCGTGAAGAAACGTTGATTTCAAAATGACAACAAGTTATATTAGATTAACTTACTCGCAACAGTAGATTTTGAGGCAGGACTTAGGAATCCGGTGAGATCAACATTGATGCCTTTTACCTAAAAAATAAGCGGATAACTTCTTTAAATGCTTCACTTTTATTTAAAAATACAATAAATTGAAAGATTGCCAAAATAATCAATCAAACACAATGCATTAGAGTAAAAGACTGATATCTGACGAGCCTCGTGAAACTTCATTTCATAGGTATTTAAACAGGTCACATTTCAAAACATATTCTCAGCATTAAAGCCATGATTCTGATAACTGCATATATACTTATTATAAATGGATGCATCAAAATGTTCAAACTCACTCTTGGCGATAAGCCTCTGCCGGATGCGCCGCGTAAACCTTTAAGAAGTCGGCTCCTGACGGAGGCGCGTATGGAGGACCTGACGGAAGCGTCCTGAGGATTTGCGGCCAGCAGACGAGTGAGGTCAAAAGTTGTGTCGTCGCACATGCTATCCACAGAGCCGTTCTCAACATTACACCAGAAATTGGGAGTAGGGGGAGAGAGCGCATCACGAACAGAAGAAACGACACAAGAGTTTTTCCTCTCATCTCCACACGTTGTCTTGTTATCGCTATTTTCGTAGGCAAAGTGCACGTCTTCTATATTTTCTTCACTATTTAGATAAGATTTTATATTGCCATTAGTTTTTGCCACGCTGGACTCAGAATTAAGTTTAGGGGTTGGGTTAGAATTGACAGCTGATGTTGCATCTTCAGTAATGTCCTTCCCACAACAGGATGCTTCATCGGTAAGGTTGACGCAAGGAGTCCTTGATGTGACAGGAATTTTTCCAGATAGCGATGAATTTTGAAACGGAGTAGCTACGTCACGAGGAATGTTCGCGATGTCGGATGAGAATAACCAATCACTGGGCGCATGTTCTGAAAATTGGAACCAATTTGACAAACGAAGACATTTTTGGCGCATTTTCTCATTTATGAAAAAAAGGCGCTACTATTGTGCTCGCCATGTCCGTTCGTCCGTCTGTAACTTCACGTTTTCGTCGGCGAGAAAATGCGCGCTGTCACTCACTGCAGTGAGTACCGAGTTATATTTTTTAAATCAGTATATACTACGAAAAATCATAAATACCCTGAGATTATATAATTTTTTATTAGTCACATTTTTATAGTTTTCATAAGCACTTCGAAAATTGAGTACCAATATCAACTGATGTAGGAAATACTATAGCTGGACAAGTGACTTTTGATATAAGGCAAAAAAAAGCCACACTCACCAGTAGAGACAGTTTTGGACACAGTGATCTTTCTCTTTTCCGCAGCGTAGTTACTCTTGGCAGCGTCCAGGTTGGGATGCATGACATGCTGCTGAAGTGCACTATTTTGCCTGAGTGTTGAGCTGTGCAGGGAGGATGACAGCCTAGTGAGCAACGTGAGAGTCAGCTGCACGCGCTTCAGAAGTGAACGACGTAAACGTAGGTTCTCAGGAGCACCCAAAACGCTTGTCATGCTCCGATTCAGCTCTTGTCTTGCTAAAAAAAATTAAAACAAATTCATAAATTGCTACCAATTTCATTCAGTAAATTACAAGTACTAAATTAAATATTTCCTACAAAACCCATGAAAAAAGAAGACGAAAGCAAATTTAGCATAAATAATAATCTAAAAAAAATTTATTTGTAATCAGTCACTGATTACAAATAAATGGCAGGAAAGCGTCAAGAAATTATTCTCAGGCGAGAATAGAAGATGTAAACCGTGTTAATTACCTGCAACGTAGTGCAGCTGAATATTTTTATAGAAATGTGTGTAAATACGGACCGGCTCTAAAATATACGGACCGGCAGCTGTATGTAAGATTAAAGATGATAACTTACCCAATATTTTCTTTCTACAATAGCCTAATTATTTTATTTAGTGTGGTTGATAGTTGATACCTTTGGAAAACTGTTCCTTCTGCAGGTCGTTCAAGAAGCCATCTGCAGCATCCATGTCGACGACGACACGCTTCACAAGGTTCAGTACTCGCCTTACAGGTTCGTGTACAATCGCCACGTCCTGAGAATACAAGTTCTGTTTCACTTCCCACCAGGCCGCGTGCACTTCACTCTGGGTCACCTGAATAAGTTAATGAAAGTTAATTCATAGCGAAAAACAGCCGCATTCCAGTTCAAGCTTCGCTTATTTCGAGGCAAATCGGCAGACTGTGAGACCATAAATAGCAGCCCTGTATGCATGGCAGTCATGCTTAGAAAACATCATGGAATTAACGGTTGATGACAAATAAGGCAGTTGTGAACTTATTCACTATAGTATGATTAGCAGCAAATGTTTGCAATTTAGAAACACAGCGAAAAGATCTACCATATCTTTATATGGTATGTAACTATGTAGGTATGGTTCTTTGCTTTCAAAGCCAGTTTTCATTCGCAAATTCAATCAATGATATGCCGGATTTTATCATTTTAAAACACGCTTGAAGATGAAAAAAGCCTTCTAATTGTGTACGAAGTCAACATACGGTAAATGAATATGGTTAATAGAGTTGAAAAATATAAACAATCCAAGTCTCCATTAACTACCATTACAAAGGCAGCAGGGTCTAGAGACGCATCCAGGCAACGCTGTAAAACAAGAGCCGCCTCCGTCCAATGCTTCGTCAGCATTCCGATGTGCTGCTTGGAGCACCACGTGTCCGAGTCGTCCTGTTACATCAACAACAATGGAATTTCTTTAAATCTGGATTTTTCAGAGTTAATTCACTTTCACATTCTTCTCTATCTGATTGGAATTGGGATTTTTTATCAAAAGGAAAACTTAACTTGAAGATAATTCAAATTAGTATTTTTCCAGACAGCGGGGATTTTTTATAACTTTATAGGACAAATATCGCCCAACATACTTTGGTTTGGGGGTGAGCGTGTTGCTGAAGCACGAATGTGACGAGTTCAGACTCCAGCCACTCCAAGCTGAGCAGGCAGTGACGCACAGTACTGCTCCCTGAAGGAAGAAATATCATCAGCAAGCAACAATTGAGATTTAGAATTTAATAAAATATACGGAACAGAATAATTAACATGTGAGTAATGAACTGTTGCTAATTGGTACAATTTACCACAACCATGTATTAATCGAGTAATTTAATAGATTTAATTACTTAATATTGAATACATACATGTACATCATTTTACTTAGGATTCATTCCGAAGTATACAAGTTACGTACCTTTTACATTGTAAGTTTGATTTAATCATAAGTTAACCATGGATTTAAAAGCCAAGAAAACGCCAAGCAAACTCACTACATGTTCATTTAAAACACAAATAGAACAATACAAGTACGATCACGACCAAGTTTATACGGTAGAGATTTAAACTTAAATGGCAGATGAACGGCAAAAAAAAAACTATTGATCGACAATTTCGAGCATGTAGTTCCCATTATCGTTGTTTATCAAAGTATCCCTTTTATAACAACGGAGCGCTTCCAAAATCCTCAGATCAGAAGCATCAAACGAAACGTCGAGCCTAAAATTTTAAATCATTCCAAGACACAAGTACGTTGCAAAGTAAGGTGTGGAAGCGGGCGGCAGAGTGGAGCCGACGGGTAAGCAAAACTGTATAACGAAAAGTCTTGCCATGTAGCTCAGTCAATATCATGAAATATGCATTCCGGCGCATGCAAATGCGCACTTCTATGCTTGGAATCGAGAGAGGACCTGATCTGGACAGGAATATCATCCTTATACCAGAAAATGGAAAAAAAATTTGTGTTGTTGACAACAATAAATGCAAGTCAACATTCTGAAAACATTTCGTGAGAATAGTTTTTAAGTATCTTTGTTGAAACTAATTCCAAAAAATTATAGGATGTTGCGTAACTTCTGCATCAGATTATTCGAACACCGTAGAAAGAGTTTTTGAGTTCTGTTTATAAAAATGCCCCATTCTTCACGCCCGACAACTACTTCACATTTTACTTCTGGCGCTTTAGATTAAAAGAACCTGGAATCAAATCTTTTTATTAATGAAACCTTACCAAACGACCCTAATAGTTCTTGATTTTTCTTTTCCTGGATAGATTTTAATGTTTCTATGTCCAGTTATTGGGCATTAAGGTTTAAATCTCTTCCGTGTAAAGTTAGGCATAATATTAAGTATCTTTGTATTCTTCAAGTTTTTGAACAGATCATATACCTTTTCTTTCTAAAACGTTAGTGATGAAGATATTGTGAATTTGCTTGTTGTCTTCTTTGCTTTCAAATTCTTGGCTAATATTCAAAAGCATGCACAATAGCACAGTACAATGTGATCCAAATCATTGAAGACACCTCAATTGCTTCCAAGTATAAGTCAATAGTACAGTACAACGAGATACAAATCAGTGAAGAAACCTCAATGACTACCAAGTACAAGCCATTAACTCACGAGACTTGTCAGTAGAAGATGCAGCCGCAAAAGCCACTATCTGAAATATTTTGTCAATGTGCTCATCCAGATCAGCAACGCATTCTTGCAGGTGTGGGAGAGAACGTGATGAGCTTGCATCGCGGGACTTGCACGAATCACTCTCAGCTGAAATGTACAAGAAATTTTCGGATTTATAGGCAATACTTATACTGATAAATTCTATTAGCAGAAAGTGCTGGAAACAGCAGTAATTCTTTCGACAGAATAAATAAGTTCAGACTTGTATAGAAAGTTCATCCCAGCTGAGAGTCCAGAAAGTTTACCTGTCATATTCAGTGAGGATTACCTATTTCTTAAGCCAACTCACCTCTGTAGGAGCTAATAAGTTTGTTGAAAGGCTCCGTGACACTAGCAAAAGAGCGCACATAGCAGCGAATGAGACAAGTGTTGGCAGTTTGCTCCAACTTCTCCACGCACTCGGACAGATCTTCACATGCCATCATAAAATCCAGCTCATAACCATCTGTTGCTGCGAAGTCTTGTTTGCTGATGTGTAAATTTGAGGACTCAACATCCACGAGTTTCTTCAAGCAGGAAAGCAACTGAGGGTAGATTCGAATAAAGTTTCATGGAAATTTTCAGAGACGAATCTACAAATTATATGAAAATGCTAAGTCAATGCTGTCAATTTAAGCCTTCAAACGATTATAATAAAAAATGCTTGAAACTAGATGAGCGTATGATATCTAGATGAACTATGAAACTAGATGAGCGTAAGTAAATCGTTAGCATTAATGATGTAAAATAAACATGAGATGCATCATAGATCGTATTTACACTAACCTTTTCACCTTGCGACATGATGATCTTACTGTCGTCCTGTGAACTACAATATGCAATAGAGATCACATGACGCAATATTTCTTCCAGGGGTCCTTTGACGCGCTGGCTCAGAGGAGTTGAGTTATCAAGAACACATTTGCTTGGAGAATTTTTCTTCAGATCAACACGATGTGCGTCAATAGAATTACCATCGGAAATTTTTGGGTGACGAGAAAATTCTTGTTCTTTGGAGCATCTATTCAACACCTCATCAACTTCAGTATTTTGTTGTTCAGGCTGAACATTTTGGTCATCAGGACGTAGGGAAGTTTGGCTCAACAATTCAAGAACTTCATCAACAGCTTTCAGGAAGCCACCCTGAGAATTTTCGTCATATTTTTTGTTCCCATTTACGCATTTCAAGGACGTTGTAGAGCGAATTTCATCCATGATTTCTTCCAGTCGTTTGAGAACAACAAGTAAACTTGCACAAGACTTGTTCAATATTTTTGCATTTCGTTCATTTGTACAGTGACAGTGAGCTAACACAACAGTAGCTTGAGGTAACATCAGTATCACAGCGTACAACTGCATCATCCAAATGCTTAAAATTTCTTTAGACTGGTCAGGCATGAATAGCATCCAACATTGAATCTTCTGCACTCCTCCCGATATTCTTCGCACTGCAGTTAGCACAAGGGAATAAAGCTCATCTTTGCATATAAATTTTGACAGAATCTCAGTTCTTAGATTCTTGACGGCATTCTTGATGTCACTGAGATGAGTGTGAAGCTCACCCAGCCGTTTCTCAAGCCATAGATCTAAGCACTTAAGAATGGAGGACACTAGGTCCTCAAAACTGCAGCCCAGGTCTCGCCATACTTCACTGTTGTCACGAACTTCAATGCCGCCATCCCGCTGCCCAACAGGAGATATACATTTTGTTTAGTGAACTTCTTATTGACTGCATATAAATAAAATATTGTGAATTTTGCGGTTGATGATTTTTGTGCTTAAAGTCGATTGATGGCACATTGTGAAATACAAATAGAATGTGAGCAGAAAGCGTCAAATTTTTTACAACAAATCAGAGACATTAAACAGTTGTAAGTTTTTGACATCGAACTTGTTGAAGTGATCATATGTTTGATGTCAAACTATACTATGATAATGAAGTGATAAATTTTTTAGAGCCAGTTTTTCACTCGACACTCAATTCCCTACCTACACAAACACTCGTTGCTTCAATGTTCACTATCTCACAAGTAGTCATAATATGTCTAGTTCATAACATATGCGTCATATATTTATAACACCCATAATTAATTTAATCTAGTTCATGAATAACTATGCAGCATATCTTTATATCTCATTCTAGGCACTACTGTAATTTAGGAGGCAATGAATTGAAGCAAGAAATTTTGCTATATAAGGGAGAAACAATATTGTGTTTAAGTTAGCAATAGAAGAATGGTAATGACTTGACAAGTTGGCTGACGTTTTTTCTTTTTGTGTAAGGGCATTAGATAATATAGTTTCAATCAACTAATGTTGACTAAAACACTTCCTACAGTTTAGGCTACTGATCGCACTTAAACTGTACTCTTCACTATTTCATTACGAGCATTTATTTATGCAGATAATTACCTATTTCTTACTTGTAAGGTTTTTCAGTTTTGGCATTATTGTCCTTTTTTGCCTAATGATTGAATTGGTATGTATACTAGTGATGTTATTAAACTCAATTCAAGTTCAAGCCATCCTTCTATAGATTGCCATTCCATATTTTCAAGTTCCCCAAATATCCATTGACGTCATTCAGTTCTACAATATTTGCTTCCATATTCCAGGTTTAATGCTAGTTTATTTATCTTAACAGGTGCAGTACATCTTACTTATAGTATATCATTTCTGATTACAGCTCCCATTATGAATAGATTTTAAGATTGTTTTCATCATCTTAAGTAGCATCATAACCCATCAGTGGTACAGTGCCAATAAAGTCCTCATATTTTCTTGGCTGCAATAACTGGAATTTTATTAATTCATCATCTTGACAACCACCACCACTTGCTCCAAGGTAGAAATGTTGTTAACGTACTAACCATTCGACTATAGCCCATACTAAATATTACAGTCAATAGAATGCATCCTTTTGTTTGTTAATTGCTTTTTGGTTTAATAAAGCACACTATCCTAATAATTAATTAAAGGAAGAATTGTTGCATTATTCTTCTATCCTCATGGCTATTGTTTTATCTGCTGAAGATTAAATACTACATTAAGATAAAAGCTGTAAGAATTTTAATGATTGCAGCCAAGTTGCTGCTGCAAGTTGCAGCCTTTGCTGCTGCTCAAAGTACTTTTGTGGAACAGCAATTCCTGTTGCTTGAAAGCACTGAAATATATACTGTAGGTACCTATATTTCTTTCAACAAACCTCATCAAATGAAAGGACATGTCAATGTGAAATGAAAAACATCAACAAATATAGACAACCATCTTGGTCTCGTCCAAAAGAATTGGGTCCAAGGAATTATTTTTGCATCATGGCTATTTTCATGTACCTACATGAAGCTCTGTAGTTAGATTGCTGAGCTGCTCAAGGAGAGTGGTGACCCGGGCAATTAGAGCAGCTGGAGGAGAAAGGGCTCTTAGTAGCAGCCGAGCAGCTGTCTGAATAGCAGAGCACAATTGCTGTAGTTGTAGAATAGTTTTTGCATCACACTCCTGTAAAATGAAGATATGAGTAAACTTCTTGCTAGATGAAAATATCAATATGAAAATCAAGATTACACATCCACTATTTCCACTTTATGACTATTTTACAAATGCAAATGATACATACATGTATGATAAACTTTTTACTTTTTTCACTCTTTTGAGGACTAAATAGTCACATTTATTTCAAAAGTATCCATCACTTGGTGAAAATGTAGAAATTTCAGGGATGACAATGAGACATTTTTCTGTGTAAATATTGAGAAAAGTAGGAGTTAAGAATAAAAACGCCAATTTCTATTGATTAACCATCATTGATTATTAACCCATTATTATTATTAATTATTTATTTGTAATACAACCCATTGTTTGGATGAATGTAAAAATTAGATCATAATTAGACATTCAGTAGAGACACTAGACTAGAAACTGGAGAACAAAATATTGCTTCTGTCAAAAGTTAAATTATTTTTTAGTTGAATTTTATTGAACTGATTTAAAATTTCTCATTATTATGAGGAAGCTACTAAATTTAGATGAACTATGGATTTATCTTGTGAAACAATGTGAAAAATATGCTAAATTTTAAAATTTTTCATATATGAATTTTTTTTCTACACTTTATTGTTTTTTGCTTCTTTGTATCCCATATCTTTATACTGGTAAAAAGGAATCCAGTTACCTGTCCTTGATGTGCCTTGAGGATGGCAACCTGGAAGAAAGAAAACCATGCTTCAATAATGAAAATATAAAATATTTTAAATAATTCATATATGGAGAATATTTGTTAAAAATTATCAAGGATCATTGAATAATAATAATTAATTAACATTCTAAAGAAAAATCACACCATACCAGACTGGACTGTTCTGGAAAAGTCTATTTCTAAGGAACTTGGTACATACAGCAGTTTGCTAGTAAAGTGAACCTATTTATCAATTATTTTAACAATGGAAAAGATCTGGTATATTTCATACCCACCAAAACAATTTAGGAGCAATGATATTTCTGTAAAAATCAGGATTTTACAATCCTGTAGTGCCATATTTTCTGTAACTTTTGAATTTTGTGGTTTGGTTGTTTACAAATCCACTTTGTCAGCAATAAGATAGGAGATAATTCATATAGCACATAGCAGGAATCTAGATATCAAGTAGCTCCAAAAATGGCAGGAAAATACTTGCCATGCTGTGGAAAGATTTATTCCATGCATAGTTACTCACCTGATCCTGAAGGAAGATGGCCGATGGCATGGCACTGATGGCAGACATGACCTTCTTTGGTTCCATGAGGTCTGTTTTATGGCTTTGATACAAAACAAATAATACTAAATAAAATGTAAAATCAATAAAAATACTATGTTGATATCAATTATTTATATACATTGTTCAAATGTAGGAGAGAAAAAAAAATTCCAGCCAGCAGACATTTACCACATAACGCTTATCAATAATAGCCAAAAGACAGAGATGAGTTATAGAAACTAAACTAACAACTAAATGAGTAAAGAAGCCTTAAATGCTCGAGCCAAGGTAAGGATGCTGCTCATGCCATTGCAGGTCCTAATGCAATGCCTTCTTCAACATTTGGACATGCCTGAGTTTGTGAGAACCAAATAGACTTTTTGATATACAATTGGCCTCGCAAAAGGGTTTTAGTAACCTGATATGAAATCCATGCTCATCATCTTTAATTTTGGAAAATTGGGTATAACAATACAGTACCTGTCGTTCTCCTTTTCATTGAAGAACTTGCACCAGGATTTCCCGATGTCAGGAAATATGTACTCCATTTTGGGTGGCAACAACGGCTTCAGCACGGTGTAGTCCAACCGCTGAACGCAACCCTCGATCAGGTAATGGAGGAGCAGGGCAGCAGGTAACCCATCAATACCTGGAGCAGTGCTAACGCAAATCTTCACATCACAAGGAGTTGCGTTAGCCCTGCTCCCGGTATTAATGGGTTTCACGAATTTGTTGTGGAACTCCTTCCGGGTGCCCAGCAGGTTGGGCTTCACAAAATATATCATGCTGTGGTATTCCCTCAGGTTGTTCTGCATGGGCGTCTCTGTGGCCGTCAATAAAATTTCTACCACGCGCGCTTCATCAGCGTTCTTCTCGTCCTGAGCGCCATCTTCTTCAGACGAAGATGACATGGTATTTGTGAGAGGCTTCCTCTTCTCCTTTTTTTTTCTGAGGATAGATCCTCCGACTCTGATGATGGATCTTTGGTGTTCCGCTTCCTGCTTGATGGCTCGAAAATTTCAAAGTCAGAGTCACTGTCAATGAACATTCGAGATTTCTGAGGCGATTCCATCTCAGAGTTGTCAGAGTCTTCGGAATCATCATTATTGTTCTTCTTATCAGCTTCCTTATTGTCAGTTTTTCCAGTGTCTTTGTCTTCATCAGAGGAAAATTTCAATGACATGTAACCTTTCTTGCCGATAGGTTTCTTCACCTTGTCATTCTCAGCATCATTGTCTGCCTCCTTATTATCCTCATTTTCTGTGGCCTCATTCTCTTCACCTTCCTGCTTCTTGAGCTCTTTCTCCTTTTGTTTTGCTTCAATTTTCTCATATTTCTTCTTCTTTTCTTCCTCAATCAACTCCTCTTCTTCACTGTCATCATCTTCGTGATTATCTCCACTTGCAGTCAAAGTCTTAGAAGTAAACTTTTTCTCGAGTTGAAATTCATATATGGAGAATATATGTTAAAAATTATCAAGGATCATTGAATAATAATAATTAATTAACATTCTAAAGAAAAATCACACCATACCAGACTGGACTGTTCTGGAAAAGTCTCACCACCTTACAAACTTAATTTCTAAGGAACTTGGTACATACAGCAGTTTGCTAGTAAAGTGAACCTATTTATCAATTATTTTAACAATGGAAAATCCTGGTATATTTCATACCCACCAAACTGATTTGGGAGCAATGATGTTTCTGTAAAAAGCAGGATTTTTCTAATCCTGTAAAGGGGCATTTTTCTGTAACTTCAAGGTTTGGTTGCTTACTAATCCACTTTGTCAGCAATTAGATAGGAGATAATTCATATAGCACATAGCTGGAACGTAGACATCAAGAAGCTCCAAAAAATGGCAGGAAAACACTTGTCATGCTGTGGAAAGATTTATTCCATGCATAGTTACTCACCTGATCCTGAAGGAAGATGGCAGATGGCATGGCACTGATGGCAGACATGACCTTCTTTGGTTCCATGAGGTCTGTTTTATGGCTTTAATACATAATAAAAATACAATGTTAATATTAATTATTTATATATAGTTCAAATGTAGGAGAAAAAAAAATTCCAGCCAGCAGAGACATTTACCTACTACATAATGCATAGGTATCAATAATAGCCAAAAGGTAGAGATGAGTTATAGAAACTAAACTAACAACTAAATGAGTAAAGAAGAAGCCTTAAAGGCTCAAGCCAAGGTAAGGATGTTGCTCTTGCTATTGCAGGTCCTAATGCAATGCTTTCTTCAACATTTGGACATGCCTGAGTTTGTGAGAACCAAATAGACTTTTTGATATACAATTGGCCTTGCAAAAGGGTTTTAGTAACTGGATATGAAATCCATGCTCATCATCTTTAATTTTGGAAAATTGGGCAGAAGTTTTTTAAAATTGCAAGTAGAATTTATCATTCTCTGGTTGGTTTTTGAAAATAGCTGGTAAAAATAAGTTATTTTCCTGATTTTTTATTGAAAAAATAGAAAATGACCAAAGGAACAGTTAAAATTGGGCAGATTCATGGAAATTATTGTCCAATTCAAGAGAAGCTTCTGCCAAATTTTCTAGTTAAGCATCTCCTTAACTTGGTCTACTTCCATCACATGTCCAAAAGTGAGAGATCCATCACAGAAAAGATCACTGCATCAAATTAGGCATCACTACATGTATTTAATGCTTGTTTTGACTGTCTGTCTGAGTCAGAATGTCAGATAGTACCAAATACCAACATTATCATACAAATATTGAATACAATTTTGAACTGGACCATCAATACCAGTAACTTCACCACAGCAATGCCTCAGCACCACACTGACAGCACTAATGATGCTGGCCTTCAAAGAATTGATCTATTTCGTCAACAAATCTGAGCCACAATTTTCTAGCACAATAAAAAAGCATCTAAGTTACTATGTGGAAATTTAACCCTACAAATCTTAATTTTCCCCAGTGCTATACGATTGTTGGTGACGAACGGCTAGGTATGTGGATGTGCATAGTGCAGTCAGCAATAGATGATGTGTGACTTATGTTTTTTTTTTATAGTTGGTTTTGGAGGCTTCCAGTGCTTCTGCACTGCCCAGCCTGGTCTCTGTCACTCATTTGATTTGATGAAAGACTATGCACTGTGCAAAGGGGCTCAATGCCCCAAGTATACCATCAAACGGGGTAAAAAGGGGCAGTTTTGAGCGTTTATTGTTAATAACTTCTTACCATAAAACATTTCATAAACGAGTTTGGGCTCATTTTAAAGGTCTTTGCGAGGGCTATTGTATGGCATCTCCAAAAAATTCCAAATGCTATTTGTAAGGTGCTAGACCCTCCTAGACTCAATATAAAAGCCTCCTGAATTGATCTGGAAATGGGGTAATTAGGGACACTTGAGATAAAACTCAATTTTAAAACGTTTGAGGCATGCAGAGTGTACTCATGTATTACTAACAGTACTCTGAAGTCCTCCTCTTTCATTATAGATGATGTAAATGTGGAATAAACAACATTTTCTGTGATTTTTACTTGTTTTTCCTTTATTGATATGATATTACCATATTCATTTATTACCGTATTATTAATGTGATATTACCGCTTCCATGGACATGCCATTGAGCCTTAACAACGACCTCGTCCACTGCAAGCTTCATATCTGCAGCCATGTAGCATTTCTTCTGTATCTGTAAGCTTACAGGATAGCTTGTAATTTCGCACAATTTTAATTAAGTCGAGGGATTTTACTATAACAAAAAAGATTGTAAAAAAACATACCTGAAACGGGAAGGAATATTTTAGTGACAACCATCATATTTTTTGGAGAAATAAGTCATAGTTTAGGTTATTATGTTTCATTCATTGTTGCCCAGCGCTCAATTCTATCTATGACATTATATGCAAAATTTTGTGATGACTGATGCAGTAATTTTTTTGTCAAGTGAAATTTTTTTCACTGAGCAAGGTAAATGTAATCAAATTTCTTTGTTGTTAATTGATTTTTTCATCAACTGGATCCTTTGATAACCAAGGCTCTACTGTAAATGCAATTTTAAGGGTGTCCCTGATTACCCCGGGGGTGTCCCTTATTACCCTGTTTTGCAGAAATGGCCGCCATTTTTTCTTGGAATGAGATATGCAAATTCTGTCAATCACGTTTTCCAGCCAACACCAGGGTACAACTTTTATGTAACTAGTAAGTAAGATTTTTCAAGATGACAAATATTTTTTCTACTACAGATCTTAGCAGAGGTACTTTTCCAAAATCTCACTTTTCACATTTTTTTCAAGGATTTTTTAGAGGTAATAAATGTATGATTTCTCAACTTGCTTTATGCTGCATAGATAGTAAAAATGTTGAACTTTATGCCACTATGGTTAATTTTGCAAAATTTTGATTAGTTTAGGCTTTTAGCTGCTACAACATTTCTACAAAATGTTGGAGAACTGTCCCTTTTTATCCTGCCCGTCCCTTTTTATCCCGTTTGATGGTACGCAGCATGCACCCAACATCCAGACATTTGGTCATGTAGGTGTAGCAAGGTTATGAATATGCAAGTGATATATGCGGCATGCCTTATAATAACATGCACAATGAGTCAAGCTTTATGCTGCAATAAAGCACCCTAACAGCATGCTAAACTATACAAACATGCCAAAAAAATAAAACAAAACAGAAAAAATTATAGAAAATAAAAAACCCTAAAATTTCAAGTTCTTTGATTTGAAGGAGAAAGCACCCCCAGTTTTGAGCTACATCAGAGAGGCAGCTCCACTGTCGAGCAAATATTGTTGCAAGCATGAAAAGATTTGGTGACACTGTTTGCTGGTGACTCCCCCACCCAGGGCCATCTGCAGACCCCAAGTAAGTCCTTGTGCATTCACTGCACTTCTAAATATTGCTCTTGGGCCACTGAATCTAGCACAGTGTAATATGAAGTGAGCTATGGATGGTGTCATCTACTTGACATTCTGGAATCTGGACAGACCCCCGTTGCTGCCATTCCAAACCAGGCACGGTGGGCACCCACGCCTGCATGGCCCAGACAAAGGCAGGCCATTGCACATTTCAGAGGTCTAGCCAGATAGCTATAATCTATATAACTATAAGTGATGCAACCATCAAGGTTGTATCTGAATTGGCCACAACCAGTAGCAACAATCTGGGCATGCCAGTATGCACGCCAGTGGCTGTTAAAGGCCTGAGCTAGCTGCCCATATGACTCATCAAATGAAAGTATTGAAGAAGAGGACCTATCAGTGCATGGACTGAAACAAGTAGTAACAATTAACAAGCATCAGCACGTGTTACAAATGGATGCAAGTTGTTGATCTGGGCAGCCACACTCAGGAAGATGTATCTAAACTGGGAAATTTCTCGCATAAATCAATCTAATTATATTTTTTCGCGCAGGCGTTTGTGCAAATCACGGTCATCGATTCCGCGCCGCGCAGCACTCGGCGCGGGCCGCGGAGCCGTCCGACACAGTTCTGATTTAGACACAGTTTTCATCTGAATGGAATGGCAACATCGTCTGTAGATGATTTCAAGTAACGCTGAACCAGAATTGCCAGATGGTATATTTTTATACCAGATTTCACAAATCTGGTATTTTCAAAAGGTGTCTGGTATGAATATTTTAGA